AGAGCAAGACAGGAGAGCTGTAGTAGTTGGCTCCCTTTCAACAGTGCAATATGTGAAAGTGAGTGAACTGCTGAGAGAGAAGGAAATGAGCTGATGGTAGTGAACAAAAAGACAAATGAATTTTGCATCATGCATGACCAAAGTCATGGAATGAATGTTTTTGGAGGTGACACATACATCAGTCATAAGACTGTGTGCTTTGAATGAAAGTGTTCACCAATATTGAAGCCTGTACAATGATTAAATGTCCACGAGGTGATGGAGCACATTTGATGAATGAACACAAACGTAGTGACAGAGTGCATTAATATTTTGATGAACGGGGGTGTGACTCTCGTGGCCCATAAAAACTATGACACTATTTCATTCCCAGCAAAGGCTGCTGTTGCCATAGTGATTTTAACCGCTGTTATGCAACTGCTCCACTTGCAACCTTCACAAAGCAATGGGCTACGAGGACGTACATGCACACATGTGTTATACAGTGGTATGCAATGTGCATGTGGTATAATATACATATGCGTACACAGAGTATGATGACAGAATGGGATCATTCTGATGGTTGAAAGCAGCCCACTGACCTGAGGCTGTTACACAACATCGGTCACCACCTCCCCACCCCCCTCTCCCAGTAGAGTGAAGATGGAAGAGCTTATCTTCTCCGTCTTTCCATCCTCTCATCTATCAGCCTTTCTATCCCTGTGCAATTGCTTAGCACAGAAACGTCACATGCATGTCCTGATTCAGGACTGACTGTGGCTCTGCAGCTCATCTCTGGCAGTCTGTTAAATGTGGCAAATACTGGGGTCTGAATGTGGCGTGTAAATACAGTATGTGCCTTTAAACCGCCTTAACCCTGCACTGACCCACACTCTTAAAGATTAAAGTGTCTGTTTTCCTGGTCAGACCCTTTACTGGGTTACAGTTTGACCTTTCATTGTGCTGTCCTAAGCCACCACAGGATTAAGGAAGGCCGGAGACAGAGAACAACATACAGTATATAAAGAGCGATGTGTTCCAGAGTTATTATACTTCTGAAGTTTTTTATTAGTTTTTATTTTCATTTCATTATAAATTTTGTTTTCAATTCAGTTTAGTTTAAGTTAGTTTCCAGTGTGGTGGGTCGTTTTGCTTGTTTCAGTTTAGTTTTTATTTCTCAAAAATGTTTAGCTTTAATTCAGTTTGTATTAGTTTTGGTGTTAGTTTTACTTTTTTATAATATGGGGGTATTTGTCAGGGACAAGATTTAAGAAGTTCAGAATATGTATATAATTATGTAACACTTGACTCAGTCATGTAGACATCCCATTCTCAATAAACATATGTACCTCCTCATGCTTATTGTGTTGACAAAGTTGGTCAAATTGACAGAAAATATATTTCCTTTTTCATTTTAAAAATGTTGTGATTACCCATATTTAATGTGTTGTTTGTTTAAATAGAGCTACTCATTATAAGCAGTATGAGTCTGTATATGCCAGACCTCATGGGACGACCTTTTGACGTCCAAAACCCAGCAAGCATGTGACAGATGGCAATTTGCAGGAGGTCACTATTTTCAGCATTCACTGAAACAAGCACACAGCCTCCATATGATGTACTCTCACCAATGTGTGACAACAAAATTAGGATAAGACAGCCTTAAAGTGTGTCAGATATTTGTGATGTGATATTTAGGTTCTAAATAACAAAATAATGGAGTCTGTAGCTGTCAGTGACTACAGCATTGCGCTGAAATTGAAATGCCATTCAAATGTGTCTTTATTACCCTGAACATAAAACTTTATATTTCAGATTGATTCGAGGATGGATGTCTGTGCCAGCGGTACAGTACATTCTTTTTAAAGTAGTTTTTGGGGCTTTTATTGCCTTTAATTGATAGAGACAGCTGAATGTAGACAGGAAAGGGGGGCAGAGAGAGGGGATGACACGCAGCAAAGGGCTGCAGGTCGGACTCAAACCCTGGGCCACTACAGCAAGGACTCGGTACATGGCTCTATCAACTGAGCTAACCGGGCGCCTGTACAGTACGTTCTTGAGAGAGACAGTGAAGTGGTGATGGCCCGTGCTCTCTGTTGACACAAGCCTGTGTCTGCTTAATAGTTTCTCTCTCTCTCTCTCACGCAAACCACCGGCACTCCTCACATCACACAGAGCCCGTGACTGAGCGCAGATTGTTCAGTTCCGCTCCATCTGCCTCAGACTGGTTGGAGATGACCAGGACTGGCTGAGGCAGCTCAGGGTGCCGTCATCCTCTCCCAACCCCCGTCTCTATTTTCACATCTCTGCAACAGATAAATACTTGCAGCAAAGTCTACATCTACAACAGGCCTCACATTCACACAAGTGTCTACCAGAAACACCAAATATTAAAGAGGACACAGATGTTAGCACAAACCCAAGTCTTTAATTTCCCCCCAACAAACTGTGGACAAAACATACATACAAGATAGAGGTATCCCAACATGTCAAATAACAATATTAATTCATATCATTATTATAACATTAATAACATGGAATGTAGTACTCTCCATTCACAATATTTTTTGAACTTTTAGTTTATTTTATGAAACATGTCAAATAAAGAAATAACTCTATGTCATCTGTCTCTGGTACTGTTATGAATATAGTCTCTTTGAGTGAGGATGAACAGGGAAAGGATGGCAGAATGAACAGGAAAAAGAGGAGAATGGAGGGTGTGAGCGCACTACCTCTCCTCCCGTTGACTCTGTCCTCATACACATTACAGCTCCTGCTCTCTCACATAGCCCTCAGTGTAAACACACACTTCTTCAACAGAATGTGTTTCAGTGCATGTTTGTGTGTGCAAAACGCTGATACTTTCTTTGGAATCGGACACAAGGAAAACATTTCTACTGTCTCGAGCCTTCAACACTGCTTTTATTGGCTGCCTTCCCCTATTTTGTCCTCACGGTGAACTGGGTTAAACAGAATGATGACAATGGGTAAATCACTGCATCAGTCACACAGATGGCTCTTCTATATTACGCGATAGTCTGATTCATATCCTGAAGACGAAAACACACAACAGGAACATTGAGAAGCACCGATGGCAGAAACAGGAACAGGGTCCAATGAAAGGCCAGCTACAACAAGATCAGATTTTGAAGAGGGGAGAGATCTCTCTGCCCTTCTGTAGTCCAGTCCTCTTTTCTTCCAAAGGTCAGAGGGGGTCAGCCCTCAGTCTGTGCTGTGGTTCTCCAGCTCGGAGATAATGGTGATCAGGTTCTGGAGACCAAACATGTAGCCGCTGTCCAGGCCCTCATACACCACGCTCTCTCCCTGGAAATGTCTGCAGGTGGTGTGGGCAAAATCTATCATCCTCACGTCCACCGCGGGGCTGCTGCGGGAGTCACCTGAGCTCCCGCCGCTGCCATCGCTCGACGTGGAGGAGCTGTGAGGAAAACTGAGTGCACCTGCTACTTCACCCACATCCCCCTCCTCCTCCTCTTCCTCTTCCTCCTCCATTTCTGGTTCAGCCTCCACCCCCTCGTCCTCCTCCTCCTCCTCCTCATCCTCATCTTCTTCTTCTTCAGAGAGGCTGTCCTCAGTGTGTTGGCGTGTGTGTTTTCGGTGGGAAGCTCCATCGTAGATGATGAGCAGGGAGCTGGAGTAGAAGCGGTAGGATTCACAGGCTTCCAAGGCTGCTAGCATTTCTCTGAGCCTGCGCAGCACCGGGGACAGGAGTTCACGTCGTAGACGCCGTCCGCTGTGAAAGAACTGGAACAAAGCCTCCTTGAAGTCCGGCAGGGTCAGCCTGCGGCCATGGAACTTGCTCATGAACATTAGCTGGCCCGTGTCAGACCGGTACACCTGAAGGGATGGAGAAACATGGTTGGAAAAAGAAAAATAGTTTTACAATCAATTTGCAGTTAATTGGGCAACAAAAGTTTTGGGTCTTATTCATAACTTCTTCCACTTTCTATATAAAAAATCCAGGCAAGAAAAAGGGACAAGTATTCCAAAATGGACAGTCACTAATCTGATCTGGATTTGAACATATCACATTCAGTCAGTCGGTCTTCTGTTGTTCTCAAATAGTCACAAACCAGTGGGCCACCTATACTGATTTAACAGCAAGAGGCAAATTGTGTGTTTTACAGGTGCTAATTCCCTTTGTGACCTTTGTAGCAGGGTAGACTCCTAAACAATACATGGTAGTCAGGTCACTAAAGGAATAGTTCCAAAATGAGACAAATGAGATGTAATGTGTTAATCAAATAGTTTTAGAGGTACTAATAGGTGGATTTTGTAAGAGTTGGACAGAGCCAAGCCTGCTGTTTCTTGCAGTTTCCAGTCTTTGTGCTAAGCTACACTAACCAGCTGCTCGCTGTAGCCTTATATTTAACATACAGATATGAGTGGTATAGATTTCTCTCTGGCCAGAAAGTGAATAAATGTATTTCTCAAAACTATTCCTTCAAGACAGAGGCATGAACACTGAGGTCAGTCTTGGCTCGAAGCCCACCTGCATGCCTGAGAGGCAGACTCCTATAGAGGATGCTGTACTCTGCTGGCACTTTCGGATCTTTACGGCCTTCTTCTCCTCCGAGGCGTCGTCTCCATGCTGTTGTGTGCCCATCTTCAGGTCCAACACACACGGCATGGTGTGCCGCCACGTCAGGTTTTCCAGCAGGATGAATTCTGGGAAAACTGAGTCAAGGAGGCAAAAGACCATGGCCTTCTTCTATACTTCAGCTTTTAACTTTAAACTGCCTGACAAGGTTAGAGAAAAAACTATGTAGATCTAAGCTAATCCCTCCAGAATGTTTCACAGCATTCACATAAATGCTATTATCATTATAAAGGAACCGGTAAGTCACAGCAATATCAAGTAACTAATGGAAGTGCACAACTCCACAGGCGAGACATTGATAGCTAGACATTGTATTAGATAACAGTCCTCAGGTACATGCTGAACCACTGATAATGATGTATAGGTTTCAATTGCTTGTAAATAGGCAGGTGTTGAGGTATCCTGGTGGCTCAGATGGCCGGGACACATGCCGTGTTCTGTGGCCTGGAACCTCTGAACAATGAATTCTCTCTTTCCACTGTGATATTGAATGTTGGCGAAACAGGAATCTAAGAAAGCTGTGCAGTCTTCAGTCAGTGAAAGGATACTGTACTGGTTGCGGTGCTTTGCATTCTCCTTCATCTTCTGCAGGTGCTGCTGTTGACATTTGAGGCTCCAGGGGTTGTGCTTGAGCTGCGGTACAGCGTTGCTGTGACTGTGGTCCAGTCTGTAGTAAAGCACCTCGGCCTGCCGCAGCCAATCCAGCTCCACGTCCTCCTGGAGCTTGTGTACACTGAACGGCAGAGGGAGAGAGAGCCTCATTAGTTTTAGACACAATAAAGAACGAAAGACTCAGTATCGGCTTGTGTATGTGGTTAAAGTATGTCTGTGGATAGAGGATAATGGAGTACTCCTCATACATTTTGTGTTTGTGTGTACTGTATGCACCAACATGCATTTATTGCAGTTATGTAACCCCCCGAGGCTGTGACCCTCTCTCTGGCTGCCAAGGCCAAGGATCAGCCTCTCACAGTATTTCGAGCCAGTTTCGCCTTAGGTTGTATGTGTAAGTCAATGCGTGCGTCATCAGTCGATTAATGTGAGTCTTCAGAATACAGCTTGACAATTCATGGAAAACGAATATATCATGGTTGTGTAATGGCTCTGAAGTGATCAATGCATCATCTTCACTTTCATTTACAGGAGCCTCAATATGTGAGTGTGAAAGTGACTCACTTTGCCCCCGCTTATTGATACATCAACTATACCTTGTACTTTATTGTGAGTAACAAAGTCCCCCAGTGTACTGCTGTCTTTGTTGGAATGTTTTCTTTATCTCACCTTCTGTCCTTGTCTTTACGAGAGTGGCGGCTTCGGCCATCTTTGCTGTAATTTTCACTGTCCACAAGCAGCGAAGACGTCATCCCCCACTTGAGCATCTCGTTTTTGGGCTCGCAGTCGGCCATGGGGTCCTTGTTCTCCAGATCTGCTGCAGGGTCACTCTTGAGGGGGTAAGCGATGAGGCAAAGGTTCCCTTCTTCATCCTCTTCAAAGCTTACTGACACAACACCTGAGAGCAGGACATAGAGAGACATTTGTTAGGTATCTGTATCATGGAGCAGTGAAGAGATGAGATAAATAATCAAAGCACAATAAAGCTGACAAGGTAACACTAGTTCTTAAGTGCTAAGATTCTCTCATCCCAATCTTGCTGTATTTTGCAGCAGTTACACTCACAGATTACTTTGTGACTACAATCATGTTTTAACAATACCTGGACAAAACTATGACAGACAAGAGAGGATGGGACAGAGATAATGAGCTCTCAAAGCAACAAAGAAATGGCCATAATAAAAGAACAATCAATATCAATATGCAGGCAGTGGGTTTTAATTGTGTAAACCCATACACACAAAAACAGACCATGCTCTTAAGTAGGTTTAATGCTGAAATGCATATAGCAAAATAGAGAAAATATCAGCCCAAACACAAATGACACAAGGCTACAAAACATAAGTCAGTTCAGTTTATTACCAAAAATTTCATCTCACACAAAATGATGAGCAATATACATATATAGTATACAGACAGCATCACTGCACACATACACAGAGAAATACATATGATGCTAGTCTTCAGGCTTGACTGATTTAAAATCATCACATGATCACATAGAAGTTCATAAAAGTTTTTCATTTAGGCTCAGTAGAAAAGGGGATGTTATTTAACCCCGATCACAGAAACCTGAAGAGCCTATTGGAAGATGTGTAAGGACATGCTCAGTCAGAGGTATATCTTACTGACTGTGCTTAGTTTCTTAAATGGTGTGATGGAGTGCTGCCTATTGACTATTGATTATGACCTTTTAAGATGACCTCATGGCCTCTGTCCAGCAGTGACTTCGATTTCTGGATCTGAATGAGGAAGAATCTCAGTTTGCACCCTTTCCACTATATTGGCTGTGGGCCAGAAAAAGAAATTGGGGGCAAACCTGACTTACCTGTGTTAGTAGAGCCTCCTACAAAGAGGACATCATATGCAGGTGGCCTGTTTGTAGGAAGCCCACTTGCAGACTCAGCTGCAGCACCCTCCTGTGGCACAGTTTGGTACATGCTGCTGGAAGACACCTAGAAACAAAACTGGGACCTCCGTTTCCTAATATTCTCAAAACTTACACAACCAAACGCGTGTCTGCAAAGAAATCAATTCTCACCTAACTTGCCCATTTGCACATTGAGCAGTGAAATAAAGAAAGAGAGATGCAAAACAACACAACACAGCACAACAACACAGACACAACACAGGTTAGAAAAGGCTGGTTTACATTACCTCTATACTGGGGGGTAAACTTCCTCATTGCAGCAGGCAGACTCTTGTAGAACTGATGTTCGCGGGGGATGAGGGGCTTACAGATGGTCTGTTCCCCGAAGCGCAGGACGCAGCAATGTCCTCCCACCTGGTGTACGAAGGGCTCAAGCATCACCCCTTTCTGCATGTAGCACTGCTGATGCTGCAGCTGCTGCTTTTGCTCTGCATCCATGGCCTTTTGGGCCTGAGCCTCCACAGCCGGACCCATCCTCCTCTGGCCCTGACCACACTACCGTGGGCATTAGCCTCCACACGCACACACACACAATGTGGTGGGGGCCCTATATGGCAGGGATCCGCACACACTCACTCACGCACTGCAGATCCACAGAGGACTAGTCGTGGTCAACCTTAATTTTGCATTAAGGTTGCAGGGTTTTTTTTAGGTTATTCCCACGATGTCCTCAGAAGCTGTTGTTGTGATGATGCTCTGCTTTGTCTGTGCTGTTGGGGATTCTGCTGGTCGAAAACAAAGAACAGGAAGGAGGAAACAGAAGAGAAACTGAATAAAAACCTGAGTTTTAGTGGTTATTTAATTCCTTTTTAACTCCTTGTCTTGCAGTTTTTGTAGCTGAGAAGAAACAGAAAGCCACAGAAAGTCCTTTAAACGTTGATGTTTAGACTAGTGCTGCAGCACACAGAGACAGATCCTGCTTGTGCCTCCACTGCAGACTGACTGCTCTCTGACAGCTGAGAGCTGGCTCACCACTGGTAAAGCTCTCACAAGCCTGACACTAGCACCGCCCTCATCACAAGCAAACCACCAATCAGAAGCATCGAAAGCAGGTTGTTGGGTGGTAACCCTTCCCGGGAAAGGAGCAAGCAAACAAAGACGGTGGTGGGAGGGGGGGAGCCTGGGGGAAGGGAGGGAGAGAGAGAGAGACCGACGAGGAGAGAGAAGGAGGCAGAAGGAGCGGAGAGAGAGGAAGATAGGAGGACCTTCCACTCTCCTGAGAACCGAGCCGAAAACGAGGCAGACGAGAGAGAGGAAGAGAAGAGAGGAGGAGAATCAAAAAACATAGGAGGGAGGCTGAGCTAAAATCCAGGCTGTTTCTTCTCTCGGTGCTCCGCAGGTGTAACATACACCCTGGACAGAATAAGAACTCTATTCCTTACTTAACAAGTACAGGTGGTGGTAATGGAAACAGAACAAGGTGGGGGGAGACAGAGACACAAAAACTGCATGCAGTAAAAAAAAAACACACTGACAGGTAGGTCACCTATATATAAACAAAATGATAATACTTAAAACTCCATATAAATCAGAACAAAATGAGCTCAATCAGCTGTAGAAGACACTCCCATATTTAATCTACCAAACATATTCCACTAAACATGCGTAAAAAATACTATCGCCTTACTTCTTTATAAGGAACATATAAAAAAACTTATTAAAAAAATACCACACTAATTTAGAGTCTAGTAAATGTATTAATATATCATCATAATACATTTTATCAGCTTTGACAATTATCCATTCTCTCTCTGAATTGCTCTACCTAGCCCGCCCACGGACGCCTCTCTGAACTAATAAGTTGTTCCAGCAAACAAACTTAATGGTTATGCATAACAGATAGATCTATAGATATGAGAGAAGTTGGTTGGGGCCCCCTAGATTCTTATCTTTACAATGTTACCAACGTAAGTGGAGACGTGAAATTTATCTCCTACAAGACCTATCAGGTGGGAAACAAGAACTTTATCAATCAGAGAGTGATATGAAAACATGAAAAGAGAATTTATAAAACAAAGAGAAAACTACAGTAAATGGTAAGCGCAAGAAGGATGCTAAATCGGCAACAGAAGCGTCAGCAGTGTCATGTGTTGATGTAAGATCAAAGAGTATAGAGGTAGAGAGGAGACATAACCGCAAAACGGTGATAAAAAGAAAAGTGCTACAGTATAAGAGAGGGGAAGTATGCTGGACGCGCTTGTGCTGGAGGCCCAGGCAGTTGGAAACTATTGATAATACCTGCTTTAATACTCTGCAACCCTCCTAATGTCCAGTCTAATCACATAAAATAGATCTCCAGTGCCACGGCCAGTTCACACACTATGCGTAAAGTTCTTCTGCTGCGGGCAAAACCCGAAACACAGGTGGGGAGGTGGCATGGATGTTATTGTTATTAAAACCACATTGGCTCCTCAGTGCGGGGCTCTAAATTATCGCTATCTACCCTCGTACGCGTTCGTGTGTATTTTTCGTACATGCAAGGCGTGCCCCACGGTGGCTTGTGTGCCGTGCACGTCGGGTGCCGCCCCATCTGCATACCCATTACAGGTTGGTTATTTACTGGTTGCTTGGTGCAGACACAATATGTCACTAACATGTCCCTTAGTGACATTAATCTTCCAGCTCATATTAATCCTGCCCTTCCTCTATGGGAACATCAGAAGGTAACAAAATTTAGGCCATGACAAACAAAGTTATGTTAAAAATAGCCACAGATATCATCCTCTAAAACACACCATACACGTGACAGCATCATCTTTTTAAACCAACTAGCTTACTTTTCCTTGCATGCTAGGACTAGAGAACGGGGCTCGGCCCCTTCCGCCTCCGGGCTGCCCCCCCACAAACTAACCCCCTGGCTCAACTCCCCCCTGATTCTAGTGACCAACTTCTGACAATTAACCAAGGGCGCTTAGGTGTCGTCAGGCAGGGAAAGGTTATCATAAACAATTGAATGGTGGCTTATGATCTATGAACCTTTGTTTTGCTCAGTTCCGTGAAAACTTAAAACAATCATCCGCTGCAAAACAGACAACACCTGTGGCACTGGCAATCAATATTAAATTCATTATCAGGAGAGTGAGGGAGTTGGACGCTTAATAACAGTTGGCTATATATACAAAACATATGTAATATATCTAAGAAACATTCCGATCAACAATCCCTTAAATAAAGACACCAAAACTATGTAAAAGTCCTCGATTACAGATGGATGATAACAATCGCTCCATGAACGGAGATCACTGCAATATAGCGTGTCTATTCACTACCCCACATCTTGAAGGAACAT